AATCCGTCAGATCCAAGAACGACCATAATTAGGCGGTGTTCACTAGTAAAAGTTTTACTGTACTTTTAAAATCAATCTTCTACGCTTATTTTTTCAAAGTATTAAATTAAATTTCCATAAATTTTTGTTCATAGTTATTTCATTTGAATTTCAACTTGATAGTCGTCTTTTCGGCTAAAGGAAATATTAAATGACAAGTTTTTTATATTATAACAATTTTTCTTTATTTAGAACATCTGAAGTTACTGAAGAAGAATATTATGCATTTTATAAATCATTTACTAAAGAATCTGAAGATCCATTGATCTTTAGTCATTTTACTGCTGAAGGTGAAGTTACATTTAAATCAATATTATATATACCAAAAACAGCACCATTTGATTTATTCTCTAATTATAATAAAAAAGTTGATACTATTAAACTTTATGTTCGTCGTGTATTTATAACAGATAATTTTGAAGAAATGATGCCAAAATATTTATCATTTATTCGTGGTGTTGTTGATAGTGATGATTTACCATTAAATGTTTCACGTGAAACATTACAACAATCAAAATTACTTAAAGTTATTAAAAAAAAACTTGTACGAAAAGCATTAGATACGATAAAAAAACTTTCTTCTGAAGATTATGTTACATTTTGGAAAGAATATGGTACAAATATAAAATTAGGTGTTATTGATGATTCAGCAAATCGTACACGTTTAGCTAAATTATTACGTTTTACAACATCATTATCAGATGATAAACAAACAAGTTTATCCGAATATATTGAACGTATGAAACCAAAACAAGAACATATTTATTTTATTGCTGCTATGTCAATTGATGAAGCAAAAAAATCACCATTTGTTGAAGGTATATTACGAAAAGGTTATGAAATTCTTTATTTAATTGATCCTGTTGATCAATATTGTTTACAATCATTACCTGAATATGAAGGAAAAAGATTTCAAAATGTTGCTAAAGATGGTTTAGAATTAGATAAATCTAATAAAAAACAAGAAGAACATAAAAAATATTTAGAAAAATTATATGAACCATTATTAATATGGCTTAAAGATAAACTTAGTGATAAAATCAGTGATGCTAAAATATCTGATCGTCTTGTACAAACACCAATGGCACTTGTTGCATCACAATATGGTTATGATGGTAATATGGAACGTATAGCACGTGCTCAAGCTTATCAAAAAAGTGGTGGTGATGCAACAATGAATTTTTATTTAAATCAAAAGAAATCATTAGAAATAAATCCACGTCATCCACTTATTAAAGATTTACTTCGTCGTGTTCAAGATTCAAAAGATGATAAAATAGCTTTTGATTTAGCAAATGTTATGATTGAAGCAGCAACACTTCGTTCAGGTTATGATTTAAAAGATTCAGTTGGTTTTGCTGATCGTATTGAATCAATGTTACGACGTGCTATGGGAATTTCATTAGATGAACAAATTGAAGATGAATCAACCGATGAAGAAAATCAAGTTAAACTTGATACAAATTATGAAGAAGATATTGTTGATAATGGTGCAACAAATTCAAAAACAACATCGACAAAAGTATATAAAAATTTTATTTAAATTTTTTCTTGATTCTCGTTTTTTTTCTGTTTTGTTTTAGAACTCGGATAAAACACATAAGGATTTGTAAGAAATGAAAATTTCAAAATAAATTGACAATCAATACAAAAAAAAAACTAATGAAACAAAATATATTGTGTTATTTTATGAACATTTCGGCAAATATTAATGTTTTGTTTTTTTTTTTTCTTTTCTGAAACAAACATTCCTTCCGCACTTTAGTGATTTTTATTTTTAGAATGTGTGATAATCTATGTCATATATGCATTTTATTTTCTATTTTATTATCACGAATCTCATTTATTAATCTTTGTCTTTTATCAATTTGATTTCTATTTTCATGCACTTAGTTCTTCTTGATGATGTTTGTTTTTTTTTCGCAAACTTAGATCAATAAATGTGTTGCATTGTAAATTATATCGTTAGGAAAATTGAAATTCAAGCTATAGAAGTTTGCTTTAACACATTAGAGACGATTAGAATGGTTTTCCATGGAACATAACTCAAATACAAAGAGAAATCAAAGTGAACCATATATCAAATAGTGTCCTACACGAGTACGATTTTTCGTACTCAAACTCAGATCGGAACTAATCGACATCCAGCAGATACTTTCACAGTCATAGTATAGTTTTCAAATCTTTATTTTATATAAAAAAAGTATACTTTTTAGTTTCTTACATAAACAGCAACAAAAAAGAAGAGAACGTCTCGAATTCTACAGAAAAATAAGTGATTCAGAATTCATGTATTGTCTTTTGTGCTTTTAAAATCTGATCGATTTCGCTAAGTATACATTTGCTTGTTGCTGGAATGAAACTCAGTGTCGATACCAAATATTATAATTGTGAATACACACATAAATGCTTTTTCCATCATGGTAATAGATGTTTACCTTTCTGATAATGTATTTTTCTATCTATATACTCTTTTACTTTGTCATATGGTTCCTCATCATCTGCAGATGATTTTTCATTAAAAACGAATTCTCTTAGTAAAACAATATCACTTTTCACTTCTGTGATCTGTTCTCAAATACAATAAATTGCTCAATCATGATCGAGCCAGTTTTCATTTCTATACTTTTATATATAAAACAGTTTGAAAGAAAACTCTATTGAAACGTTGAGATCTGATATATTGCTGAATCCGGGTACTGGGCATGATCTCAAATCCGAAACCAACCCGACAATTTTTTCATACGCGGTACCTGATCCCATCCAGCGAGTTTGCATCGGGATCCGTGTTTCAGATCGAGGCGGTTACGGGACACTAATATCAAGTGGAATTTCGAAGTATAACTGATGATTTATAGGGTGATCACGAAAAGTTTTCAAATTCTAGGAGAACAATTGGTAATTTCCATGAACAGTCAGCCATAAGAACTAAAAGTTCATTTTAGTACAAAAATTTTAAAGTTGACAAAAAAATACAGTGCTAGAATCAAAATATTGAAAAATGTCGTAGTTTTAATGGCAGATCTATTTGAAGTATTTTAAAATCAGATAGACGAAAAACTTCTCTGAGAATCTTTAGTTTTTATGATTGACTACAAATTGATAGATCATTATTTTTATAGTATATTTCGATTGAAATCAACTATAGATTTTATGAACTGAGATTTTTTTTTGTTGGATATAGAAAGTCTTAATTGTCTTGAAGGACCTGTAATATATTTTTTTGCTTAAAAATGAAAATTATTTAAACAAATAAATTTTCTAACGAAATATATACCGCATTTATTTATATGATTAAAAAGCTGGAATATGATTTTATCATTAAGAATTATTGTTTTTTTATATTAGAAAGAATCTAAAGATTTACTTAAATACGATTGTATATCTTATAATACATTGTTACAGATATTTTGAAACAATAACACAAATGCATAATTTCGATAATATAATTTATTCGCTATGCTCCACTTTCTGACCTTAAATATCCTAAAGGGACAGCTAGCTAATAGAAAGTATATCTGTTAAGACGATATATAAAACACTAGAAAAAAAAAGAAAGAGGAAAAAAAACAAGAATTAGCATCTCTAAAGAAAGGCAAACTAAGTGTAAAAGATAACGCAGAAGATAATTGACTCAAAAGATGATTTCAAGAGATACGAATAACAACTGTATATATTAGAATGTCTCTGGACATTCAGCATAACATCTGATATCATACATATTGATAAAGTCAGATGAACTGTGAGCTGATAATTAATTTAAGATATGATCAAATACATCTACATCATTTACAATGGTAGAGAGAATGAATTAATCTTTTCCCTTCTTGTCACTCAGAACGACTATTGTCTAATACGTATAACATAGATCATTAAGTGTACATTCATTGTAATCAAATGCGAAATATAAATCATCCTAGTAAACATAGTGATAACCCACTTGCGCAATGTGTAATAAAAGTGATTAACATTTGTTCGTTGGAAATCTGTAGATGGAGGATAGAGTGCATAAAGCCATAAATTCGATAATATATTTTCAAGTTACTTCATAAGAGCAAAGAAGTCTAATTAAATACTAATGTTCTCAGTTCATATGAAAGAAACTAGCGAGGAAATCTCTTCACGTTTCATATTGCTTTTCGACCGAGATTATATTATTTGATGAGTAATAGAAAAGTATAGAATGATCAAACAATTGAAATTTTACTGAATTTTTCACCTCTCTCAGTTCATGTGGAAAATCGATTTCCAAGTTTTGACTTCAAAATTTGCACGAACAAAGTTTTCAATGAGATTAGTTGATTGTATAACTAGTATTTCCTTTCTGAAGATGTAACTATATGAACAAAATTTGCTTTTACACATGAGAGAATTTTGTTTATACAAAGTGTAAAGTTGAAAATTGATTTTTCACATAATCTGAGGTAGATGAAAACCCAGTGAAAATTCGATAGTTCGCTCGGGAAATCAAACCATTCTAAATTTTTCTATTACTCATCAAATAAACATTGTATTCGCCGTCTGATCTTCTGTTATGGAAATTTACAACGCTCTTTCAAAGGTGGTCTTCTATTGTAGGCTAGGTTTTTTTTTTGTATCTACTTTTTCACAATATTGGATACATGACGTTTAAAATAAAATGTAATTCGATTAATCAATTCAAACATCAAAAAGAAAAAAGCACAAAACTAGATTTTTAGTCTTTGTACGTTTTCTTTATTGTTGAATAACTTATTGCATAAAAACACCATCTATCATATGCTTATCACTCGTTGGTTAAAATTATAAGCCGATAGGAGATTCAACTCGAGACTCCTCTCACAACGATTTCTTTTTTTCTTCTTCTTTTTTTTCCAATTTACTTTTTTCTCGTTCGTGACTGATTCAACCAAAAACAATCTATTTCAACACATACATATATTCTCGTAGATAGTTTATTTCTCATTGTTTCATAAGAATAAATGGCTTCATGTATGACATTAAAACGTTCATTTGAACATGATAGAGATTCTCCTAATAATAATAATAATAATAATAACTCATTTGAATCTCGAACATCTTTACCATCATCAAAACGTCGTCGTCGTTGTTTCCCAATGACAGTTGTTTCATCATCACCAACAATGACAAATGAAACAACAACAGTATTTCCTGATATTCAACCAATTGTAACTACAGGTTAATGGAAAATAAAAAACATAATTATTTTGATTAATATGTATTTAATGTTTCTTTAGATGTTTTATTAAATCGAATTAAAGAAGAAGTTCGTCGTCTTCAACGACGTCATCAATTAAAAATATCAACATCATCAGATTTAAATGATGATGATGATAATAATAATAATAATAATAATTTAAATGAATGTCGTTCATCAACAAATCATCAACATCTTTTAACACTTAAACAAGTTAATATGATATGTGCACGATTATTAAAAGAACGTGAAGAAAAAATTCGTGAAGAATATGATCGAATTTTATCATATAAACTTAATGGTGAAATTTTAATTTTCAATAAAAAAAGAAAATTTTTCTGTTTGTTTTTTTCTAGAACAATATGAAGGCTTTGTTCGATTTACACAAGATCAACTTACACGAAGATTTTCTGAATTACAATTCTCTTGTAAGTTTTTATTTTTTATTTTAAATTAATTGAAAATTTTAATTGTTTTTTTTTTTTATTTATTTATCTCATTTAGATGTTTCTTGATTGGTTCTTTTTTTTCATTTTCATGTATATACAAATTCTTGGTGCTGGTTTATAAACTTCTCGATTTGTTTGTATGCAATTATAATTATCTTTTCTATATATCAAAAACGTTTGGTTTTTTTTTTTGTCTGTCTGCTATAAATTGTGTATTATGCTTTTGTATTCTTGTGTGTGCGTGTTTTTTTTTCTTTCTCCTAAAAGGTGGTGCGATTGTTGTGCGCAGATAAACAAAAAAGTTACTAATAGTAATACACATGCAGACATATACATATATCTTCTCTCGTGTATTTTATGTTTAATAGTTTCGATTTTTTTTTGTCTTTTCTTTTGCATATATATATATATACACGACAAAACATTTTTTTTTGCGATTAAATAAAAGTAGTTGAAATAATAGAAGTCGATAAGTGATTTAAGGAAGTGGATGTATGCTACTGCAATATGCCCTCAAAGGACGGAGATGCATTAGGATTATTTTTGGGACATATTCTTTTTCTTTCTACATATAGTTTACCTAGTGCAGAATTTCATGACGAAACGTTTGGTAACAAAATAAAGCGACTTCTGAAGGATCCATACCTGCTTTTGCTCAAATAATTGATACTCAGGTTTGTACTATAAATGTATAATTCATAAATAGAAAGATGGATCGTATGAATTTTCTCCTACTAAGACATTTACAAATGAAAACTATATCAATCAATCTTTATCTTGAAAAAATTTCAGCTCGAATAGTTGAAATACTGCTGCATAATAATGTAAATATTGTTCTAAATGAGTATGAAGAACATATAGTTATATTATTATTTCTCTTCACTATTTTCTTAATATCTTGCGAAAGAAAAAAAATAACATGAGTTTTTAATTAATTTTGAAAGGCCATAGGAAGGAATAAAAAATCAGATAGAAGTAGGTACTGATGCACAACGAATAACATATCTGGAATGAACATGAAAAACTGAGTCGACTTAGACGTGTTTCGAAGTTTTTCGATGAACTATTTTTTCTCGAAAAAATTCAACTAAGGTCCTGCTCTAGATCCAGTCAAAAGACGAATCTAATGTCAACACCATTTTTATGAGTTAGTTATTTGTTGTTATGCCTCGTAGTAATGTTTTATAAGCTCGGAAGTTGTTTTCCAATGATCAAATGATTTTCTAATTAAGTTCATTTTTTGATTGGACCTTGAGCGGGACTCCGGTGAAATTTTTTCGAGAAAAAGAAAAGTTCGTCGAAAAACTGCTGATTCCAAATATGTTATTCGTTTTGCCTCAGTAACTACTTTTTTCAATCAAAATCTGTTAAAGACCAGTGAAGAACTGGTGTCGAAACGAAATTTAAGTCGTATTATTTCACAAAGACTACTTCTAAAAAAATAGAAAAATATCTGATTTTGTAGCGTTTCCTTGTAAGCTTTCAGAATCAATTAAAAACTCATTTTATTTTTTTCCTTTCTCGAGACATTAAGAAAATAGTGAACAGAAATAATCATTTAACTATATGATCTTCATATTGATTGAAGAACAATATTTACATTATTACTCAGCAATAGTTAGACCATTCGAACTGAAATTTTCTTCAGAGCAAAACAACAGGATGGATAATCAATTGAGATGGTTTTCATTTGAAAATGTCTTAGTATGAGAAAATTTATACGATCCATCTTTCAATGTATGAGTTATGCATTGATGATACAAACATAGATCTGAACCCTTCAGAAATTGCTTTCGTTTGTTACCAAACGATTCGTCATGAAATTCTGCATTAAATAAACTATGAATAGAGGGAAATTGAATATGGTCCAAAAGAATGGTTCTTATGCGTCCTTGCTCTTTGGCCAGTTTGTAGAGGGCACCTACAAGTATCTGAATATTACAATATCTTTTGGCTTGAATAAGATCTAACGAGAGTTATGAAATTTTTAAGAATCGATTTTTCCTGCTTATTGGATACCAGTGAAAAAAGTAAACCTTACCAAGTTCCGTACTTTTACGATGTCTTCTAGAAAAATTTTGTTCGTTGGGTTTGGTTCTATGGGATAATATATTTTTCTTTTAGAGTAACCATCGTTTTCCTTAAGTTAGGGTTCCACGATGTAGCTATGGGTGAAGTCTAGCATGCTATGAAAAAGCTCGTTAGCGTAGGCTCATTGAAGCTAAAATGTGTATGCAAAAATCAGTAAACTGTATTATTTAAAATATTGAAAAATATATTCCAGATATTTAAGCTTCAAGAAGAATGTTCTCAAACATTCTCAGCTGGTTAATAATGCCATTCAACGCCTTCCTTTAATCCTGGTTACGCTAAGGTCTGAAATAGGCAGACAGAGCCACAAAACTTCGACATAAAACTTATACTCACTATTTTCTTCGAAGATATACATCAGTTTCACAAAATAGAGGTTGTGTGAAACATTAAATTATACGCTTTAGCAGCATTAGTTTGCAACGAAATTTTGTATGTACAAGTACCTACCTACAAAGTTATAAAATAATTGGACACTGCTGAAGAAATATAAAAAAAAAATTAATCGATGTCGTAATTTTGATATAAATTAGAGCATGCAAAAATTATTGAAATTGAATTAAAATTTGTTTTTTCTTACCGAATTACAACAGATGCTTTTAATTTTAATGTCGTACTTAATTCATATGTCCTAGTTCTATGTGCTGCTGATAACAAAATGATCTGTTATAACTTGGTAAGGAAAAACAAATTTTAATTCTATTTCAGTGATTTTTTCATGTTCTAATTTATATCAAAATTACGACACTAATTAGTTTTTTTAAATATTTCTTCAACACAGTGTCCAATTGGCTTGTAATTTGGAGATAATATATCTGGTCGGTAAGCACTTTTACATAGAAAATTTCATTGAAAACCAATGATGCCCAAGTGTATAATTTAACATTTCATAAAACTTCTATTTTTCATGGTATGCTGGAATTTATCTTCAAACACAACGTGGAGCCTTCAACTTGAGGAAAACGATATTTCTTCTAAAAGAAAAATGCCTCATCCGATAGATCCAGTGAACAAGTTTTCATGAAAAAAATTATCCCAGAGAGGGTATTGTTAGAGTAGAGGACTTGATGAAAATTACTTTTTCCACTGATATCAAATAAGAAGGAAAAATCGGCTTTCGTAAACTTCATAACTCCTGTTAGATCTTACTCAAACCAAAAAAATATTGTAATATTCAGACACTTGTAGTCTTATTTTATCATCGATTATATAATACTAAAAGAAAAACAGTTAGTTCACATTTTATCGTTTTAAATAATTATAATAGTATTTAACGTTCGATGTAAGAAAATGATAGGTATGTTCAATTGATTGATAATAATCAATACGTTAGAAATAATAGCATTATTTCCAGCGCTTTATCCAACATGGGAAGGAGAGGGAGCAACATCCTTCCGAAGACCAGATTCGCTTTCCTAGAATTTATGCTTATTGTGTCACATACTAACTGTCTGTGCATTCAAAAGTTAATGTTCGCTTTTCTGAACGTTTTAATCGCTCCTTTGAAAGAGAATATCTGGACAAAACACTAACCATTTGTATTTTATAATTATGTCTTATTGAAGTTTCATTAAATTAAAGTTTATTATTAAAAACACATTCTTCATATATGAATAATATTTCAAGTGAATTCATCCAAACTATCAACTGAAAATACATCAACGTAAGATTTAATCTATTTCAGATAGTAAAAATATGTTGCCCAAAATTTTATGGAAAAATAATATTTTGAGAGATTTGAATAAATTGTTATAGTTTCAACATTTTTATCAAGTATTCAAAATTTAGCACGATTACATTCGTTTATTGGAATATATATTGAGTGCTCAAAGGAGAAATGGATCTCGCAGGATTTTGTCAATTATTTTCTTAATTTTGATCAGTCGAGCTTAAATTTTCTATCAAAAGATTCGACATTTGGTTATTTATAAATTTCCATAAGAAATTGTTAAACCTAAGATGAACGAGAAAGAGCACGAACCTGAATTATTATTCTCTTGGAAATTTGGTCATCGATATCTAATGAATTATTTTTGATTATTAACAATTAGTGAATGGACATTTTTCTAGTTAATGAAACAATCTAAGATACATGCCGACAGATCGGTATCTACAAAAGTCAATGAACTTCTCCATAGGTAATATTCAATTGATGTTCTGGTTCAAGGTACCTGTTGAGATCGTTCTATCTGTTAAGAAACATAATCTTTTTAACTTTATTTTAATGTAATATGAGCGTAATTTGGAATAAAATATTTTTGAAATACTATCTCGAACAAGAACATCAATGTGATATTACTTATGGGGAACTTCATTGACCTCCGTAGATAACATATCTATCGACATGTGTCTTAGGTTGTTCCATTAAATAGAAAAATGCTAATTTACTAATTGTTAATAATAAAAAATAATTCATTCAATATTGAAGATTAAATTTTTTCTGAATTTTCAACAAAATACTATTTCAAGTTCACAATCTTTCTTGTTAATTTTCGATTAAATAATATTTTTTTTAGAAGGTTAATAAAGAATCGAATGTAGAATCTTTTAATAGAAAGTTTAAGTTCGATTGATCAAAATTAAGAAAGTAATTGACACTATTACGAGAGAACCATGCTTCCTCAGACACTCAATATTATTTTATAGAGAATTGACAAAAAGAATCTTTCAATAAAAATTTAAACTCAATGCAACTTGAATAAGAAGACACAAGTATAAAAACAAATGGTGCCATTATTTATGGCATATTCGTTACATGTGTATGTATGAAAAAAAAACAGAATGAGTCAAAAAAAAAACAAGAGCTGATGCATAGATAAATGTAAATGAAACTTAAACATTTGATGGAATGGTGATTGATAGTGAAAAAGACAAAAAAATGAGATAGCAAAAAACGAAAAGAAAGAACATCACTATGAGGTATGCACGTTTCTCTTATTTCTTTTGAGCTGTCTAAATAACAAGCCGTGAAATCT